GATGAAAAATAATGATTATTCAAACAAAACTTTAGGGCCACTTTCGTTGCTAGATATGGATAATGAAGAAAAACTTAAAATTTATATCAAAAAATTGCTAAAGTACGGTTTCGCGTTAATACGTGAATGCGTAAGATTTATGGAATTTAATTTGACTGAAAATTTGATGGATAAATCATAAATTTAAAAAGAAAATAGGATCAGCAGCAAATATGATTGGCAAAATATGTTTTTAAAACACCAAACCTCGGATCTCATTCAAAAATTAGAAAGTATTTCTTTGTCTCGAGCACAGGGTATGAATAGGATAAAAGTTGACTCATATTTTCAATTGTTAGGGCAAACCTTACGAGAAAAAATCTTTTATACAAATCGAAAAATATATTTAATATGGATAAGGCAAGCTTAAAGTTGAATAATATACTAAAACTTTCAAAATATGTATTTAAATCCGGATGAGATTTAAATTATAAATTCATAAATTTATCTACTTTTACAAATAAATATATATTGTAGATAACGATTGTATTTAAGATTTAATAAGTCTTTAAAAAAAAAAAAAAAAAAAAAAGCGAGCTATCACTTTCCGATTTAGCCTTATACTTTTGTGTACCATCGCGTTGTAAACTAACGACGTTTCTCTAATTCTCGTTCTCGCATCAATCGTTCTACCAATTTGTGTATTACTTTTTAAAATATTATACTGCAGCGTGACTTGCTAGTAAACATGTAACTCTTGGCTAACGCGAAACCTATCAATTCGTCGAATCGTCTATACACGAATTTCGATTTGGCATCCAAAATTCTGCACGCGAGAGCTCGCGATCCGGTATCTTGGCTGTAACGGCGTGATTCGCGGCGCCACGCCATGATATTTATTGCCAATTAGTACTGCAAATTGTCCACCGGATATAGTGACTTTAATAAACTTCAGCGTTGGTCGAGGGAACAGCAACTTATACGTCGCGCGTGGCTCTCAGGGGGTTTTAACCCGGTCGACGCTGATAACCGAGTTCATCAAGCTTTTCCTCTAGCTGATATTAAATTTGTAAACTCAATGATCGCCATGCCCCCCATCTGGTTCCTCAGCCGCGTAATCTTTTGCTAACGTGATTGGTAACGATCCTGAGAAATACTCGTTGCCAAGTCACTATATTTTTTTCATAGATCTTCAAAATCAACAATTGATCCGATGGCCTGCGAAAATCTCACGAACAAAGTCTCTATATTATTTTTGTCCGGCTTTGTCATGTTACGTGGTTTCATCATAAATGCGTTATTACGATGACGGGGGATAAGTTGACGCTACACGACCTCTTTGTACGCCGTGATTCGCCTTTCCTCCTTTATTGAAATGCTCAACGTTGCTGGCAGCGTTCAGCCGCGATGAAAACGTCGGCGTCGACGTTAGGTGTCACGGGAAAAAAATGTGACCGCGTCGAGATGCCCCAGGAACTGGATAATTGCAAGCGCGTGAAAATCAGTGCCGTGAAGGGTGTCAACCACCATGAATGGGCACTAGTATTTTTGACTTCAGTGATTTGTAGTGTGAAGCAAACAAGTAGTCGAGATTGTATTTAATACAAATGAGCTTGCTGAAATCGCGATGTATATAATGCCCATTTAAAAGTGGAACATAGTTGTTAAATAGAACTGCTTAATCTTAAACAATGGTTTACCATGCATAATATCCAGTCTCGGACACTGTGAAGGTTCGACTATCCCCTTTATAACGAGTCGAATACTCGAACGTACAACACGGATATTTGCTAGTAGTTGCCCGATGAGGAACAAAGTCTTTCAAAATCTATCCGTCAAATCTTCAACGTGGTTATCAATTATATTCTCTCGAAATCTACGAGCTCGTTCACCATCGAATAACGAGCGAAAGAAATCGCTGAAATACTCCAAAGATTCTCGATCCATAAAGATGGATGAAACGAAAACTCAATGGAAAAACAGAAGATCGAAAGCTCCTGAAGGAGTTGAAAGATGATGAAGCGTAAGAGATATACAGGATCGCGCGTTTGTCTGGCTTCCTACGAGTCGGGAAAACAAACAAACAAAGAGAAACGTGGCTCGTCTCCGAGAGATGGAAATGTCGAGCCGTAACGAAGCTGCAAGCCGATAATGTGCTTACTCGGAACAGGTGGAAAGAGGATTTTAAAGGTGTTTGGCGTGGGAAGCGCTCGGAGAGGTGAGTAGAAAATGCAAGAAGACAGATGACAGATGGAAATCGTAAAACTCGAGTCCATCCTCGGGTGCAAATAGCGAAGATCGAAGCGAAGACTCGTCGGCCGTCGTCGCCTGAGAATTATTAAAGGATTTACCGAGGGCAAATTGATTCGCCGTTACAACAGACGGTGCAGCGCCAATAATTCGATTACTTCTTCAAAGTTCGAGGCATACTGCAAAGGACAACAGTCATCGTCCAGCAAAGAGCGGTAATTATTCGGAGATGGTGTCTCGGTGAAATGGGTCGGCCGCTTTTATTCCTCTCGCGTTTCCGATGGATAGAACCTTCATTTTCGATGGGGTGCATTACGTTGGAGGATTCGCGGACGGTCTTAATATTGAAACCGTGGCTCTCTTCCGTATATACCGTGACTTATGGTTTCCATGGAGATTTACCAGTCGACTGGAACATCGGATCGATGGAAAGCGATAATCAATCAAACGTAATTTCTTATGAAAAGTATTAGCGAAAATCTCGTTCCCGTTGTTCGACAAGCGTCGACCTGTCATTTTCACGCCTGCAATCGCCAACCTGCGAGGAACGCGTAATCCACGAATGGATGAAATCCGATTACCGCGCTTGACGGTAGCTACGTTTGTCGTTCCTTTGTGAATCGCTGATGCAATTAGGCACGTGCCAGCCGATATCCACCAAGCCTATCGACATGCAACGCATACGTTGATACAAATTTATCGGCATTGTTTAGAAGTTCAGACTATGCGAAACAATCGGATTAATCAGACTCAAAGATCAACCGTTCCGATCATGTCCGTGGTTCTGAAAAAAAGACGAAATGGCTTGCGAAGAAAGCGGATTTTGCGCGAAACGAAAACGGAAGCAATTGGAGGATATGCAATTAAGCGGAACTGATTTATCGGTAATGGGAGACAAATTTTATCATCGTTTTCTCTCCCTTCCCGATGCAGACTGATGTATCCTATGTCCAGCGTTGTTCGAGTCCGATTCGAAGGAAACTGCCACAGCACGAAACTTGGTTTACTCGCCCGAGCGAGGAAAGCGTCGATTCCCGAACACTGTCGCGCGTCGTGAACGCGAATTTGCTTCTGTAAAGTGACAACGAGTAATGTCGCGATGCTGAACAAAAGAGAAACGGATTCGATATAACGTCACTCGAGTGATAAAAAGGCAATCGTGCTGGCTGGCTCGCGAGAAGAGATGCAGCTGCGCTCTTTGAACCGGCTGTCTCCCCCCGGAATAGGAAGTTTCGTTTCACGGATCGATGTGCTGTCCTTTTGACGCAGCTTAGACGGAACTTATCTAACCGGTGCAGACTTCTTTGCACTTTGAAATTGATATTCCTACGAACGTTGCTCTTGCTACGTATGACACATTGTACGTTACTACGGATAAATCCAAAAATTTCTAGCGACGTTTGTTGTAGCCTAGCCTGATGAGCAAACGACACAACACAAAAGATTCAATTGCCAATTTGTTTTACAAAGCGGAACTGTACTCGTTCAGCGATTTTGCTATTCCCGCGATTCGTTAAAATATCGTTTGTCTGGATCGCAAACTCGGCGTTAGTTAACGTCTAATCTCGTGTTTGTATTTGAAGTGAATTTACACGATGTACTACCTTGGGCTGATCTTCTTCGAGAAGAAACTTTATTCATTTCACTTCTATCCGACTAATCCTGCTTAATTAAACGTTTCTCCTCCTCCTAGTGGGTCGTCCTCAGCTGGATTAACCGTCCGACCGTATCGTCCCTTTGCAGTTGAATTGATCGAGGTTTAAATATTCTGTCCGTTCCACGACGCAACTGAATCAAGATTTGAAGGAGAGAACAAAAGATCAAATCGGTGCCGAAGTCGACCTGAAGATTGTTGAAATTCCGCACAATAATTGACGAAGGCGAGATTTTCTCGACGATTCGTTTACTTTAAAAACACAACGACGGGTCCTCTTTGTCCCAACGGGGGACAGAATCCGCGTCGCTGAAAGCTAGCGACAGTTTACACTTTGCTTCACCAAGCACAATGCAAACTGTTCTAGTTACAATCTGACAGAGAGCACAATTCAACACCCTAACACTGGACAATGTAATTGATCGCGCGAAATGTCTGGATTATGCACGCGGTTTGACGAGCTTCCCCATTGACGGAGAAATTGATTGGCAGAGATTTTTGTTAGCACGGCCGCCAGTTTTAGCCAATCGATAAACGCTCGGAATTGAGAGAAATCAAAAGCGACACGAACTTCATCGACGAACGTCCAATCGATACGGCGGATAATTAACACGATTTGACAAACTTTGGAATTTTCCGAGTAACTGTCTGCGAAATTTGCCGGTGCCTGTCAAGAAAAATCGATCGATCGGTTAGTTAAACCTAGTTACGCGAAAGCTCTTTCTTCCTTTAGTCTTTAAAACGAGACGGAGACGCGAATCGATATAATCATATTTTGTTTCGCGTTAATTCACGGAAGATAAATTAAATTAAGGAATACAAGGACGGCAACTTTTCTCAGAGAACAAGGTTTAACTCAAGAAGGAAGGGAAGTCTGGATATGTTCACGAGTCCCAGCTGCGAGAAACGATGTCACCCTCGCTTTTAGGTCTGCGAATCCTTGTGCGTACAACAGGTAGCAACGCGATATTTACCACGCTTAGTCCGAAGACTAGAACGAGTCGAAATGGAACGGTTAGAGCTGTATTTTGGAGGAATGAGCAATATGGAAAACGGTCTGGCCGACTCGACCGCCGCCTAAATATATAATAGAATATAGATAGCGTGTTCCACTCACCGAGTACGAGCAGCAGTAGAACTTGTTGCGGGAGCCGAGCCACCATTGTGGGCTCCTGCTCTGGCGCATTTATGAATTGAAATCGGCCGATTCCGCCGTGCACCGTATCGACTCTCACAATCACAGCCACCCTTTGCAACAACATTCATTTAACGTTTCTCCCAGCTTCTACGGATTCGTTGTTGCTTCACGATCTCGCTCGACGCTTTCCGCCGACGCACACACGATCCACATTCACCAAAAACCTTTGGTTCTTTTCTTTATCGTGTTTTCTTTATCTTACACTACGGTATTGCGAGCACGCACGCGAATCACAACGACTTCTACACGGCCACGATCTCGTTTGTTGTTCGTTGCTTGTTGTTGTTCTCTCTCACTCAACCTCACTCGCGAATCACACACGCATTTACACCGTTGTTACCCTTCGGCTCAGCATTTCATCCGGCGCGCGACCAAATGTAGTGACGGCTGAAATATCAGTGGCCGATTCAGCGTGCAAATTGGCGACGAGCTGCGCTTGATCGCGAGGATTTGCCGGTGTTACATCTCTCGCGAATCCCCTGTGCGATTACTGTGTCGAATCGACGCGGTTACGTTTGCGTACATTTTGACCGTGATTTAGTTATTTGAACGTGGCGAGTATTTTTTAAGACCCGAACGATACATACACGGAAATAAAAAGAACAGACGAACAGAGTAGTAAAATGTTTAACGGATTAAATCCGATAGGAGCGCATAAACGAAACAAGAACGGTTAAGCGAATAGAGATCGCGTTGCGAGTAATAGTACTTTTACAAGAAGCAAGTCGAGAAAGAAACAAAATAGGCATCACTTCGTCGCTGGCGTGACCTGCGATCGAATATTCCTCGTGGAGAGATATCGTATCGAAAAATTGAAAGGTAAAACTGAAGACCGATAAGCCTGTTCTTCGACAATCCGCGAATGAATCCCTTCTTTGATTCGACCGAGTTTCACGCGTGTGCCTCTTTCTTTCAAGGCTTGATGATTTTTTTATGTCGTTAGCGAGAATACGCTTCATAGCCTAACGAAGATTCGAGTGTTTTCTCGTTCATAGAATAATTTTAAACGTCGGTGGAAAAATCGTACCGTCAGAATTTACGAAGCGCGAGCTTGTTTTCCGCGTGACACGTTAATGCGAGAGTTTAAGTCCTGTAGGAATTTTCAGTGAAATCATGATTCCCTATGGCTTCGGCACTTCGTTTCACGGTAAACTGTTTACTCTGGTTGTTAATCTCCTTTCCGGCGACGAAATAAAAACGCTCGTTTAATTGTCGGCACGAGCAGTGAGGGAACAAGGGAAAGAGAAAGCACACCGCGGTAAAAATCGCGGTGTCGCTTTTCCTGCGGGCTCCAGTATAAACTTTTCATTCGTTTGTTTTTCCCTTGGCAGACTGAATATGCATGGCCACGTGAACAGCCACTTCGTAAAAACGAGTACTTCTCGTGCATGACTTTTTTTACAGAGATTTTGGTCCGTCAATCTTCGTGATTGATGATTACGGTCTAACAACATAATTCCAAAAATCGAAAATTGAATGAAGTTAATCAAAATCGAAAATAAAAGTAAATTATTCAAAATTTTCAGACTGTTACTTTGGTTGTTGCTGTGACATTTGTTTAATCGCGAACGGCGAAATATTCCCTGGAGGGAGCCTCGTACGTAACCTCGGTAAGACCAAATGTACAGAGAACTCGAAAGTTCTTTTAAATTGTCTTATCAAATCCGTCCCTCGAACTGTGGTGATCTTTCGAGGCCGTTTGGCCGTCTGCCGAGATTTTTCGTGGATATTTTTGTCGCGGCCGTGCACCGGTCTCTGCTCCGACCGAATCGTTGAACAATATGTAATAAGAAAGCCCACCTCTGCTCCGTAAAACGATCGTAAAAATTATATCCTACAATCGTACAATCACGTGTCCTTCTACCCAATATGCAATATTTGCAAGCAATCCTAATTACGATCAAGCGCAAGCTTGTCTTCAAAAAGAATTACACTTCTAGCCGTCGTTTGCACGATTGCATTCCACTCGAGGAGCTCTGCCCTGTGTTCCCTCGTCGTGATCCAAGTGACCTATGTACAACACACACGTGACAAACGAGCAGAAAATCGCGGAGATCGATGCACGAAGGATAGGAAAACGATCGCAACAACGAGACGTTTGACGCGGAGTCTCACCGCCGACTGACTGTAACACGGCTCCTCTTCGATCATCCCTCCTCTCAGCACGAGCACGCGGACTAGACGCATCGCGCCGCGCCGCGCCGCGCCGCGCCGCGAGTCGCGAGTTCTGCGCGAGCTCATGCGAGCCGCTACGCAGCAACTTCTCCGCTCGATTGTTCGACCGATTCGCACTGTTCTACCAACCTCCCTGCCGCGGCTCTCTTTTACTTTCCTCCTAACCGTGGCTTCTCTCTTTCCTCCTGCAATCCCCACCCTTGTCCACGGCGACTCGGAACGTGCACGTGTGCGCGCGTGGTTTTCAATGGTATGGTTTCAACGAGGAGATTCGTGGAAATTTGCGGTGGCCAGTGTGCGTCGTAATTGCGTTGCCCGATAATTGTCGCGTAATTGTTGTCGTCGCGTCGCCGGGACCTGCTTCTTATTTTCCTTTGCCGCGCACACTCTGCCAGATAGCGACGTAATCTCGTTTGCGTTTCCGCTGCGACCAACAACCACGCTCCCTCTAGCTAACCGTGAATACCTATCCAATGTTTGCCGTGCCACCGGCTACGCTAGTGGAATGGAAGTAAGGTACAGATTATAAAAGATCCTCGGCAACGATGTGAAACAACAGCTGAAATCCATTTTATTGCCATGGGAAATTGTTGAAAGGATTTATCTCGTGGCTCTGTAAATTGTACATACAATTGTTCATTCAACGAGGTGGAAATTGAACGATGAATTTGTACCTTCATGTGCAAAAATCAATAACGTGAAAAATCGATAACGTGAAAAATCGCGCGGAAAACAAAATCAGATAAAATTTCGTTCCTAGTTAAAAATCAGAGTCATCGTGTATAAAATATATGTAGCTGTTCCTGGTCAAATAAATACTTGGTGTATATAAAGTGTAATCGAGATCTTGCAAATACTCGAGCATCGAAAGCGATGACATCAAAGATGTAAATGTTAACGAGAGAGACGGCACGGCTATTTGCTGATGACGCCGGCGTCTCCTTTTGGCGTTTCCAGCTCAACATACCGAAAAAGACCCTCGTTGCTATCTTTCTTATGCAGCTTCGTCCGCCGACGTGCCCTCACAATTGGGCGATCAAAGGCAAGCTCGATACGGCAAAGTGTTTCACGAAGTAATTAAACTTGCTGTCTCGTGACATTCGTTAAACACGTACAATACACTTATGTGACGGTTAGTGGTATCTGCTACGATGTTACGCGAGCATAAGCTCATTCACGAACCAATATATTCCTGATTCCGGTTTTCCGGGAAAATCAAACGGACAGGTATTATATTGGCAAAGATTGACTGAATTCGTCAATTTTGACGACGATGTAACGTGGCAGAATCAATGACTGACGCTTTCCGTGCTACCATCTTTTCATATTAGGCGCGAAAAGACTTGACGTTTTGCGCGTTATTATCAATAATGCAATAACGCAAAGTATACATCTTTCGTCTAATGAGAAAAGAAGAATTCATTAACGTACTGTTTATTCTCGGGAAACACAAGTCATTCTTATCGATATAATCCAAGGGTTTAAAAACACGGGGAAAACACCATTTCTCCAGTAACTTTCGATTTCACTCGAATTCGATCTGTCATTAATTGAACGGCGAACGAAGGGAATTGGCCGGTCGACGCGAAACAAACCACTAATTCGTTCGGTGTGACGAAATTAAAAAGAAAGAGAAGGAAACACGGTGGCGTTAAACGGAAGCAGCGGAAGCAGAGGAAAGTCGGTGGTTGCCCGGCAAAAGGGCACGGTGCAACCGGCTGATTGAGCACCCGTCACTGGCAGACGTCTAACCGACGTTTTCCAATTCGCGCGGCCATTCATCGGCCCCCGTTCGACAAAAGCGCTGGCTCTTTTGCAAATTGTAAATGGAATTTGAGCGAATGCTCACCGCTTGTTCCTTGCTGGAAAAACGCATCGTTCGCCCTGTGGCTAACTGCTGCGATACTTTTCCTCGAGACCTGTGTTACAAGCGCGCTTTGATCTACCAACCATATGATCCCAACTTTCAGCTCCATATGCATTAACGTTGACCGACTCACTAGTCCGCTTCCGACTAGATTTTCGCTAATCTCCCTGCGGAAGATCTGAAGCAAGTGTGCAAAACGTTTTGCAGACGCATAGACGTGTTAAAAACTCTTTTTGTTCGTTCTCGGACTAGCTTTTTTTAATTCTCTAGTTGTCCGTTCGATGGTTCCCTTATTTACATATTTCTCGCAAATGTTAAAGACTCGATGATTTTTGGATTCTTTCTTTACTTTAAAGAAATTATGGTTAATAGTCAGATAATGCGAAATTTACTTCAGAACACGAATAAGGAGAGTGTGACGGGCCTAAAAATTACGTATAGTACTTTGGAGGGCTAGTAAAAAAAAACTACATATTTGATTAACACGAGCCTTTGTGGTTTATTTTAACACATTATGAATTACAAAAGGCAACATTAAAAAAGAAGAAAAGAGTGCTTTTATTTAGCTTTTTAACGGCATCCTTTTACATAACTCTTTTTTACATTGCCTATCGGTGTGCGTAATTCCAGCCAAACAGGATTAGCTGCCAAACAAAAAGGCAAAAAAAAAAAAAAAAATTCAAAAGTAAACAATATTCTCTAGAAATTGACGATCCAACATTTTCATTTTTGTGAAAATTATGAAAATAGCAACTATTTGTTTTTGATGTGTCGAATTTATGCCAAAAATTTCTACGTTTTTTTGTTTATATTTTTCGAAATTGTTAAAAATTAAGAAATGTTCGATCGTCAATCCCTAATAAATGTTACACTAAAGATACGTACCAAGTTTCGATTGGTTAGATTCCGAGATATCTTGCACACCGTTTCTAACAACCTAGTTTCGAGAAAAACGCGTTTAAAGTTTCAGAACGTCATTTTTCATATGTATGCTTTACTTACTTTTTTTACTTATATATCGCGGCTCACAGTTCTTACAATTTACAACTAAATTGAATCCAAGTCCCCTGATATTCGATTCACTAAAAGTAATATTTGAATCATATGATTTACACTTTATAAACAGTGATACAAATTCAATTATTCTGTATCCGCTGATTTAATGTCCAAAATAAGCTTTTTTAAAGGCTAGGACCTTTTGTGTCTTATTTCTAAGACTTCAAACTAGTATTTAAAACAAAAATAAAAAAAACAAAAAATCGATTTCTTTTTTAAATTTCACACTGTCCTGACCCTTTAAGAAAGGAACATTGGCAATTATAAATTTCAATCTAAATCTCAATTTCTCAATCTTTCAGCAGTCTCTAATCTATAATGAAACGTTTGATCGAGGTTTTGGCGATTGAAAGCAACTGCCGCTGCAAGTTCGAATCGAGGAGTCGTCCGTGTAAATAATAGATTCCCTCTATTCCTCAGGGCAAGTTATGATATTCATGAGAAAACAATGTCCACCGCTTTCCTCGATATTGGCCACTATCGCATGTTTATCGTACAAATAACGTTCTTTGCCCGGTCGTTAAATATTTGTATTGTTTGTAACAAATAGCGACGATATTAATATCAGAAAATTCAGAGTTGCCAGATATACCCGCTTTATCTCGATCCGGCGAATTGAAATTGATCAAAGAAAAAACCGTGCAATTTTTCGATGAGATGGAAGATCGAAACCGACACTTCTGTCGTGTTTTTCTTCTCGGATTGAACCACGGGGCAATACAGGAAAACTCCTTGCAGACGCATTACTGGGAAATCCTTGTCTTTGCGGTTAGAGCATTGAACTAAGGTTTGGCGTTCTTTGTCGCTTTCTCTTGCTTCTCGCCGTTCCTCTTCACTTCAGCACCAATTGCATCGTCGTTGAGCCGCAACGACTCTTCGATGATTTGCGGTCAACCAATTAGCCGCATTAAAAGAGATTGTGGTAAGGAAACTTTAATTGTCTTGTCCGGATTATTCGTCGATAAACTCTCTTTGCGATACAGATAACGACGCCACTTTTCGATCAACATCTCCTTTTACTTCTTCATCTTTTTTCCCGTGGTTCTTCTAGTTTTAAACGTTAACCTCGCGAAGGAAGATAATTGATCGTAAGTAAGAGGATACTCGTTTTTATACTGCAGTCTCCAGCTGTATTATTCTTATTAGGTTTCTAAGTACTTGCTTATTAACATTGTACAGCGACGAGAAAATGAAATGGCCGGCCGTTACGTCGGTAGCGAACGCAGTAATTGGCTTGCGACGTTGCTTATGTGCTGCATTACGCGGACGTTTATTTCTTTCGGTAAGACAAAGAATGTTGCTTAAAAATCCAAACTATCGGCTCATTATTGTCACCTTGCGAGAACGATTTGCCGGCATGCTGACGAAACGTCGTCTTAATACTCATAATCGTTTAGGAAATTAAGCGCTCTACCACTTCTTGTTGTTCTTCTTTTTCCTCCTTTCTTCTGCAACAGAGTTGTTGCCCGTCAGTTTGAACCAAGTTCTTGCTTCGTTCCATGGATGACGCCACTTTACATGCAACAACTTTTACAAACTTTTTACTGATTGCGCTATGAAAGGGTAGCAAGAATATACAAGTATAAAATGTATATTCATCACTGTAACAGGATACCGCGTAAAAATAAAACAATCAGGATGTATTTCTTATTTTACTGTTTTATTTTCATTAAATAACGCGTCATCGAGCCGCATCATTATAATATGACCAGCTTCGTGCTGTAGATTCCGAATTAGATACAAAAGATTGTGTTACTCGAAAACGTAGACGATAAAAACTAATCATACAAAGTAATAATATTATAATTTACACATAATCTAAGAGGCGATCCTGATGCAACACGAGTGGTCAAATACCAAAATTTCCTTCGTTTCGACCTTTCGAGCCTTGTGCTGCCTTCTGAATTTTTGATAACCAACTATCACCACTACTGCGTGTCGGTGCAAGGCTCTGTCGCGTCATCCGCGCACACACACGTTCTACCGTTTTGACCGTTTGGTAGACACAGCTGATCCTTGTTACACCTTCCATTCTCGAATTGACAGGCGTTGGTTACTACCGTGAACAGACAAACAGATAATTTACTAACTCACTCAGTGACGATTCATTCAATCGTGCGATACACGAACGATAAGAACACGGAATTACGATATTCGATGGATTTTATATACTTGTAAGAGGGTGATCAATTTGACGGAGAACAGAAGAGAAACGATGACATAAAATTTGATTTACCTCTCGGGCACGATTCAGGAACGACGACTATTCCATATAATTTACCGCTTCCCCCTGGTGGTACTGATATGGCCGTCTTCCTGTCCCCAGTGCTCTTCATGGCAACTTCGATTTTGTGACTACGATGGTAAATAATGGATGTTTGAAATATCTTCGAACTTATACGCTACTCTACTCGATTTTCCTAACTTGTTACGACCCTCGTTTAAGCTTTACTATCTCCTAAGGTATTTTACTGCCCGTAGTAAAATACACTACGAAAGTGTGCTAACTATCATATCGCTCGGATATTCAATTTATCTCGGGAATTTGTTATCTATTCCAAGTAAGTACGTTACGAGCTAATCAGACGCTGCATTATCTCGATAAAACTTACGTTTTCCAGTCGGTCCAATAATAATTTTGCTGCGAAATCGCTAGACCAAACGGATAGGTGAGCTCGTTGGCGACTACGTTAATTTTCCTGCTATCGATCTCCATGCAGCCTGTGAACAATTTTCAAAAAAAGGTCAGAGAGAGAGAGAGAGAGAGAGAGATTATTGAGTTAGGAGACGATGATCGTGTCGCGTCTATTAGCAGAGAAAATTTCATGGGGAGATCTGTCCTTACTTATCGTAAACGTTCCAGCGTCCGACCAGCACAGCTCATCCATCGCCCAATCGATACTTAATGAATTCGGTAACTTCACGTAATCCCCTTGAAGGAAGATTGCACGATCGGTACCATCCTCGTTGGCCCACTCCAATTTCGGTGACGCACGGTTCCAGTCGGACCAAAATATCTTCCTGGAAACCATCAAATATTCTCGTTTCGAGTTACGAGCTTCATCATTTTCTCGTCAACCTGATGCCGCTGAATTATTCATCAATTACATTGAATTTTCCATAGGACAGACGCTTTTCATTTAATTTATTGTACAGCGAATGGACGACGGAATTCGTAGAAACAATACTTACCCACGATACGGATGTACGGCTATTCCTCTAGGATTGACCAGTCCGTCCGAAACGAGGACCTTCCGCTTCTTCGTCTCGAGATTGGCTACCTCGACAGTCGTTTTACCCGAGTCGGTCCAGAAAATATTTCTCGAGACCCAATCGACCGTCAGTCCCTCGGGACTGCTAACTTTCGGCAAGAACGTCTCGGCCATCGACCCGTTGTACGTTAACTCGATTATTCGATTACCTAGAAAATAAATCTCGTCTAGACAGGGTTTCCTCGTTGCTGCTATTTTCGCAAGATAATTGCTTCGTATTTCCGGCGACGTGGACCTTCAGAATATTGATATTTACCGGTGATGTCGCTCGAATAAGCCTTCCCGTTCATACAATCGATGTCAATCGCGATAGCCATTTGTGTGTACGCTATGTAAATCGGGCTACCGGAATTCTCATGCGTCGGCGCGAATGGAATCCTCAGCGTGGCCATTCCTTGATTCACCAGCAGGAAGTTGGCTTCGTGTTTCGGCCGTGGTTCGCAGTTGATTCCATCTCCGGTGAAACCTTCGTTGCATACGCAAGAGAATTGATTTTCTCCGGCCGCTACGCACGTCGCGTTTGGTGAGCAGATCGTTGGATCGTGTCTGCATGACGACTGAGGCAAACACGTGTAACCATCGCCGTAATAGCCCTAAAAGTGGTCAGAGATCGTTAGAAACGACATTTCTATCAAACGAATTACCAGAATTACAGCTAAACTTTGTTTCAATTAGTTACTGTACCAATTAGTGCATCGCGCTAGGGAATATCGAATAGCGTTTAATCATCCATGGTTTATTACTACTGCAATACTAATCGTTTACATTTCACCAATAACGTTCTCATTCGTTTTCAAATTTCCTACGAAATTACTAGCAAAACTGACTACCGATCGTCCGTACTACTGTTTCGTCCGGAACACTTATAAAGTTGTCCGATTTTCAAAGTTACATTACACTCTTTTTCCTTATGAAATTATTACTGACGCAGCGTCTGATCACCCTTGGTTCACTACTACTATTAGCGCTAGAATCGAATGCAAAGTTGACTGATCGATAACATTCTTCTACTACTTTCAAACATACGATCGGATTACCACGAAGTCTATCAATGTGTAATCACACCAGCTTCACCGAGGAACCTATGATTCAGGATGAATTTGCGCATTCAATAAACATACCGGCTGGCAGATGCAGGCGAAATTTGTGGAGGTTTGATTGTAGCCACAGACCGCATTCCTGCCGCAATTATTCAGCACGTTGCAACTGATGTGGTCCTCGACACATTGACGAATTCCATCACCGTTGTATCCCTCGATGCAGACGCACTTGTAGCCACCTTCGCCGGTGGACACGCACTGAGCGTTCACGTGGCACTGGGATGGATTGGTCGAGCAGTCGGACACTACGCAGCGACCGTCCACTATACTGAATCCTGGATTACACGTGCATTCGTACCGCGAGCTGACCGGGTTATACGAACATCGTTCGTTCTCCAAGCAATCGTTGGTACTGCTGCATTCGTCTAAATTTAAAAAAAAAAAAAGATTGTTGAAACAAACGAATTTTAGTAATCGATCGTAATTCATTTCAGGCACTGTTTTAGAATTAACTCTATCATGCGACCGTTCTTTAACGAAGTGCTAAAGATACGTTTCTCGTTTCTCGTAAACTACATACTAAACGAAGTGAGAGAGGTTTGTAACTTTGAGAAATAGATATTTTATAAGTAGATTACGAATTTTTATGCAAATTCATATTTTTGAGAGTGTAATTTAAAATATAGCAATAGTACGACGAAGTAAGAGGTGAGAGTAAGAGATTATTCTACGTGAAAAAATGAGTCGAAAAGAAACAATAATATTTTTTCATCAAAACCTTTGTTTTCGAGAAAATCAAGTTTAAAAATTTATCAAGTATATTCGAATTTAGCTAATTGTAGACATTGCAGACAAGAATAATTAACGAGAGATTATTACGAATTTAAATAAATAAAAAATATAGAATAAAATTTTTTATAAAATGCTTCACTTTCAAGAAAATCGAGTTTGAAAATTTCAATCAAGTACATTATCAAGTACACGTGTACCAAGACAATTTTTAACGAAACTATTTTCTTGAAAATGACGCCTTAAATAAAAAAATTTTATTCTACACTTTTCGTTCACTCTTATGCATAGAATATCCTCTTGTCGATTATTTGCACCTGTCTAGTGCAGAATTAACTAAATTCAAGTATACCATATAAATTTTTAAATTTTCGAATTTTTCGAAAAACTAATAAAAAAATTTTATTGTTTCTTTTCAACTCATTTTTTCACATAGAATCACTTCCTATTCGATTGTACCATTATGGGACATACTTATGGGACATTCTACATATTGCAAGTTCGCACATTAAAATTTGCTATAAATGCATGAAAATTCGCAGTCTATAAGTGAAAATGTATGATAAAGGAGTCGAAAAAAAAAAAAAATATGACCGATAGGACTGCAGGTGGTTCCATCTCCTTCATATCCTGGATTGCAGACACACTTGGCTAGAGACTCCTCTTGCTGACACGAGGCGTTCGGGTCGCAAATGTCCACTTCCAAACAGGACACCTCTGCGCCAGAACAACACTTTTCATTCACTCGAGGAATAACAACGTCGTGGTAGTTGGTCTCGAGTGTGAACGATGACATTTCATAATAATGAAAGAAGAACAAGATGCGAGTTAACGTACCTGTTTTTGCGCATTCCATACCGTCACCCTCGTAACCGGGATTGCAGCGACATTCGTAGTCTCCGGTGCTTGTCACGTAGATACATTGGGCATAGGGATGACACCTGTTCACCACGTTGCACGACACTGGACACAAGCGTGTGCAATTATGATAATGTTCTGCCTGGTAACTCGTATTTGCTTCGACTATCCACGTCCGAGCATTTCGTGACGGGTTTTTGCATATCCATCGCATCGATCGTGTTTGAAAATGCTTACGTGAAGACGTGCCAGATGTTTTGTAACAGGTTGACCGTCATATTGTTTGCGTGGTATTAATTGCTTAATCAGCTGAACGGTATCGAAAATTTTACACGAAAGTTTTATAATTGTAGATCAATAGGACGATCAATCTGTTGCCAATAATAACTTAATCGCAAATGAAGAATGCTGAATATTTACTTGGTGCGTGCAAGAAGCATACAGCCGGTGTGTAAAATTGGTTAATAAGCGGAATAAATCAGTGGATGGCAAAGCTGGATATCGTACAGTGAAATCCTGATGGACCCATCGTTTCGTGGTTGAATCCAATCCGAGGCACACAAATCTCCTTCGTATGATGGTAATTGTGTCCCCAAGGACATATGCAGTAGTCTTCGTAGCATTCCGGAACTGGACGTGCCGATACTAGAACGCACGATGCAAACCGTTCGTCGCCGATAGTTAGTAATCATCGCAAATCAATAATTATAATCGTTTCGTTCTTGATGCTATCGATTGTATTGCATCGAATCGTATTCTACGTGCGATTAGTTGTCATGCACCAAAATGTGTCATTCCCTTGAGGATCAGATTTCTAACTATAATTTTCCTCCTTGGGTAACTGAAAAAATTCTATCGATTATAAATAAAAATATAATTAAATTTTATATTTTCGTCACTTCCTCCAAGGATTGAGACTTTCATTACGGTTGACTTGAACTCTCGAATTCACGATAAAGATAAAGATCTTTCCCTTCGTGCAATTGAACTATTTCAAACATTCAAACATTCACAGTTAAGACTAATACAATGATCATGCTTGATAAATAAATCAGATGAATTCGAATGACACTCTGGTCGAGAAATATACCGGATTTGTACGAATATCCCTTTGTCGTACTTACAGTCCCGATCGGATTTGGTCGTCGTCTCTTCCTGCCGCGTACATTCGTTATTCCGATACTCCCAGCCTCTTGGACACCAGCACATCTCCTCCACGCATTGCGGTTTCGGCGGTTCGCCCCCAGTGGTTACATCCGCGTCCGGATAGCACGTGTAGTCATCACCTGGAAACGATCGTGATCAATCATCTGGAAGGTGATCGTGAAATACGAAAGCGATTCCTTTGTAAATCGCGATATCGTGTGGTAGGACTATTGTGATTCCACTATAATTCAATTCTACATTGTCTTTTAAATTCCTGAACAATTATAACAGAATTAGTTCTGTAGCACAGTTATGTTTATTAATGTTAGTAATATTAAATGTTAGTAATATTAAATGTTATTAGAATACGAAATTTAATAGATCAGAATATTAAATCAATTTGGAAAATTATTCTTTACGTTGTCAAATAATAACTTCTTACCAACGAAACCTGGTAAACAAATGCACACGTGTTTCTGCCTCTCGGTGTCGAAACTGCAGATACCATTGGGTGAACAGTTATCCTCGACGTCACAGGTGGCTGAAACAACTCGTCGAATGGCACCGAACTCCGACAATTTTCCATATTAACAATGGTTAAATCTCCTTACCTCGTTGTGATGCGAGATAACAACCTTGCTCGGTATCCTCGAAGCCAGGCAAGCAGATGCAATTAGGCATTCCATCGATCATCACGCATTGCTCGTAATCCCCGCATCTTGTTTCCTCGCAAGAAGCAAGCCCTGTATTTCCAACAAAAGGTGCATCAGTTACTGGCAATTCGTAAAACAGAGACTCGTTTTGAAAGATGTCGAAACTATTGATTTTTCAATCAGACTAAGTGACTCGAGAGAGTTATCAGTGTACGGTAATCGCCGTCTGTTGGTAACTCACTTTCGCAAATTCGACCATTTCCAGAGAATCCAGGTCTGCACTGGCACGAATGACTACCTTCTTGATTAATGCATTGTGCGTCAGGGGAGCACATGTGGTTTCCGGCGGTACATTCGTTTACGTCCACGCAGATTGCGCTTCCGTCTTCTTCGTATAAATACTGATAGCTGGTAACAGAAAGGACAAATTGAAAATTTCCCCGAAGAAAAGAAAAGAAATTTTTGTCACAACGGCAGAATCAGATAAAATCTGTCCCGATTTTCCAATTTACTTAACCGTAATGCTACAAAAATAAAAAGAAACCGTTCCGTCGATGTTTACCCAAATCTTACACGCACTCTTTCAAGAGTACACTAAACATCTAAATCAAAGTGAAGCTTCTTACCCAGGATTACAGACACATTTGAAGCTATCGCCGTCAATGATGCAAGAACTATGCTCACTGCACGTCTCCCTTCCCTGGATACAAGGATCTTCTTCCTCGAGGGGCGCGACTTTTGTGTTGACCGCAAAACGGATAATCCCCTCGGTTGCCTCGTAAGTAGTAACTCCTCTGTAGAACTTCAATCTGGTCGTATCGTCCTCGGGTTCGACGCTGAGATACGGGCACTCGTTATAAACAATCGTTTCATCCTGAATGAAACCAAGTTCTCGCTCTTCGCCACCTTCGTTCAGTTTGCAAGTTCTCTCGCTCCGCGCGCGGATCACGCCGGCTTGCGCTCTAGTGTAAAGTTCATCGTAGTCACCGTAGTCAACCCTTGTGTCCCTCGCCAACTGCGGCACCGTACCTTCGATCTTCACCTCCACTTTTAGCTGACCAAACACATCCAGTCCGAGATAGCTGCTACGTATGGTCAATTTGTCGCCAGTTGATGAGTATGTCAATTCGGCCGTATGATTGAAAATGCCCCCTAAATCGATGGTTTGTCTATATTAATTATTTTTAACTCGACTTCCGTCTTCGAGTTTTGATTTTGGAATAATAAAAAGAAATAATGAAAAGAAACACAGAGGAGAAGCAGAGACCAAAAATAACATTTATTTTAAAAACTTTTATGAAAAAGATCAGTAACCGAAACTTGTTTATTATTTACGTTGTGAATATTAATCTTAAAATATCGAGAAAATTTTTCAAGAAACTACGTGATTGGAAACATTTCGATTATAAATAACAATTATAAGTACAACCAAAAATTTTTTTCGTTGTCGATAACCATCATTGATGAGGGGAACTCTATATCAACAACTTATAATAGTTATAAGCTGTTATATTAATAACGAAGAAAATTCATTTCAGTTTTTTTCATTTCGACGGAGGTTCAAATAGAAAAGTTCGATTAGTTAATGTGTCCGGAGTTGGCTCTCACTTATCCAATCTTTTAATGCAAATCGAATCCTCGCACGAAATTGTTGGATTTTTTCGAAGAAAATGTTGCGTACGATATTAACACCATCGTAAATGATCATTCTGGTCAAAGATTGAACAGTTATGATAAATATCCGACAAACATCTGAATGTGTCTGTATAATCATAAAAATATCGCGAGGACCGATTGCGAACCAGATCTGGAAATTTCTTTTTTCCGATGTTCATAAAAGATGGAAAAACGGGATATTGTAATATTCGTAACCGTTGTCGATTGCTCGATATGATAATATAAAGTGTAAAATATAAAGATTTGGATTTTCATGAAACAATCTTCCGCAATTGCATCAAAACTATAGAGTTACTGTCTGAAATAAATCTCACGAAAATTAATGAAAAAAAGAGAATCGAAATAAATATCTTTCATCGATAACGATAGTGACCACCAAAGTTACCCTTATCGATAACTGTTATGAGTAATTGAAATCAATTTCTCTCATCAATAATAGTTATTAGCAATGAAAAAATTATTTCTAAAACTTATAATTATTATTTGCAATAAAAAACATTTTAGTGCAAAAATTAATTGTTATGCTGAGACTATTTTTATTCTGGTTATGGTCCCTGAGGAGCAATGTAGAATAATTTCATTGCTGACAAGAATTTCTTAGACGATAGAATAAATAGATTAATTAGCAGAAATAATTATTGGGATTAATAGTATGTAATGTGCGTGAAATGAGACAAGCTGTTTCCAGTTGGGCGTATTCCTTTCGTGAAACTTCTTATTAACTATATACAATAACATTGTCTGAAAGTACCTGTAAGCTCATATCCATTTTTCGTTTCACCGATGGATTTAGCGAACAACCAACCAATCATACTGCCTAGATTGCCGAGCAATTGAAAACTGGCGCCAATTTCCTCCGGTACTCTCGACAAAGCCGTGTATGTTCTTCCATCCTTTGGTTGCACGTAGCATTGAAGATCTCTCGCAGGGAATTCCACGCCGTTGATAGTCCCAGAAACACGTCCATTTACACGCAATGGGATATCTACAGATTTCGGTAACCTTTTAAGTTTTTTTTCAGCTGATGACTCAAATTAGCTTTTAGTCGTAAACCATGATGACCATGGTTACCGAGTAAAGGACATTCAAAAGGTTTTTCTTCGAAAATTTCCTCTTTTACGAAGTCATCGAAAGAGCAACGAAACCAGTTCCCGTGATCTATGAATAGATCAGAGAGAACGCGACCGGAATCGTGCGTTGTTGCTCGTTTCGCGACACTTGTCGCTGTCGAAAAGGAATGACTGTTCGGTTTAAAGTACAGGGACCTATGAAAGCGAATGTTTATGTAGCGTGGCTACATCAAAGAGACGTGACTCGCGGATAATTGGAGGGTTGCTCGGTTTACGACAGCGTAGGAAGCGACAGAATCTCACCGTTCGGCAGACAGGATTTCCCATTGCCGAAGAATCCTTGCTTGCAGTGGCAGCAAAAGCCAACCTCGTAGTCGATACACGTCGCCCTGTTGTGACAAGTCGTTGCCCCTGTTCTGCAGTTGACTACCTGATTCGTGGCACTATTGTCTGATCGAAAAAGGAATAAACAAACACGTGGCTACAGTCTAAAGACAAACAATCGAACTAGAAGTTCGGACAATCTAAAGATTAGTATTCCATAGGAAATTCACCTTCGATGTTGTCGGGAACTTTCACGTCGCTGTCGTCGGTGATCGGTCCAACCTGGAACAGCCACTGTCCAGGCCTGTTCACGTTTGACCATCTGAAGAACAACAAGCAGATTAGAATTTCAGTCAAACGAAAGATTGATCGTACTTTGAACAATCGTTATATATTGTACATCATGACTCACTTGTCGATATTTTGAATCTGATCCGTCCCGGAACCCTTCAACGTGTATATTCTTCCTTCGCTCATTAATCCTGCTTGCGCCTTTGCATCCGGTAAACCGTTCGGATGCGATTCACCTTGGATCCATTGTACACCGTTTTCCGGATATAAGAATTCCACGTAGGAATGCGTACTGTTCGATATGATAGCTACTTGATACGTGTTTACCTAAAAGAAATCGAACGAAGTTAGAAGGGTAGAGAAACTGCGATCAGTTTATTTATCCGTATCCATATTATCTCTTTCGTAAATGTCGAGAAAATTTTTCTTTATTCCTAAGTTTGATTCATTTTGATTCACCTTATCGTTTTTTCCATTATAGTATCCAACGTCCACCCATGTGACGAGAAATACGTGAGTCGGTACGAATTCTGCGACGTCCGTGAAAGCGCTGCGAACCATCCCTCCAGCTCTAGCGAGAACTTCCGGCGCATTCGTTTCGCCGTAATATACTCTTCCGGAGCCTCTAGTGTCGACGTGTGTATAGAGTGGCGCGATAACCGGATCGTCGAGCGGGAACGCGATATTGAAAAACCTTTGCATCGCCCTGGCGAAGGATAGCACGCCATTCCCGTTTACCTGCAAACAGGTACGATAATCTCTTTAGCTGTTGCTGTTCTTCTGTATCCAGCCAAGTAGCAGGAGATCCGAAATAGGGGGAAAATTCGATGGCTCTCTGTAATTAAAAATCTCATTACGTGAATGAAAATTGGGACGTAGAAGCTCATTGAGTTTGCTGGCAAACTTTTGTCATCTGTTCGATATAACCCAAAGATAAAATTTCCTCTGTGGTCTTCATCTAACTTTTACTCTGTTCCCTCGTAGATACGGAGGTTTCTAAATTTCATAATCTTCCACGAAGCGATCCTGCTTGAAGGTAGAAATCTGCATATCTAGATCCTCTTTAATCCAAGAGAAGTCGCGAAATATGAACTAAGAAAACTCAAGAAATCTTCGATTGCTTCTGAATGCACGTTTATAAATATCTCTAAATGATTTTCTTCTCCGTAACTAGAATTTAAATTCTAAAATTTTTCCAGCATCAATTCAATGAATGTTTAGTAAAAAAGAAAAAAGGAAAAAAAGACATTATCTTTAAACACGCACGTGTAGAGGTCATTGAACAGGTAAATAGAAAGCACGTGTCGAGGATCTGTCGATGATGTAACGAGGCGTCTCGTATGTGAGTAGACCAAAATTTATTTAACTGGTGTATGCATCGTTTAACGAAGCCGAGACATTAGAAACGGCTCGAGCTCGAGACTGCAAGTGTATATGTCGTCTTGTCAGTTGGCTAAACCAAAAGACGCCTTCGTCGTTCCACATTTATGCTGAGAGCAGCTGTGTGCCACCACAGAGACAAACGAATCCCGACGTTTAACGACGACCAAATTAAAACTTCACCAGAGTCCAATGTTTGCTGTTCCGCGAATATTTCCGTCTGTCTACGCGCGCCCTATTTCGTCGTGTATTTTTGGGTTACCGGGTTTTGTATGTAAGAGAAGAGATTTTATTACTTGAGAGTTATACAGACTCTCAGGCTTAGATCTTTGTTTAAGAAACATTTCTCAAAGGAGTATTTGAAAATAATAAAAGATGGTGGACGAAGCTGAATTTTCGATCTTGTATTTTAAATGCCTTATTTTTCAAATTCAATTTTTAATTCAAAATATTCAGATTATTTCTCGAAAGAGTTCCGCAAACTGACCACTGTGCCACTATATTAAATGAAACAATGTCGTCTAATAATACACATTCAAGCCGTGTATCGAACAAATGGAAAGACGGAAGCGAGGCTTCGTAGTCAACGAGTCTGACTAATTGACAAAGTTTAACGCGACAACCAAATTCCGGCCTGGTTTCGACCACTCTCACGTCCCGATTTCTCGGCACGAACTCCTGATTGTACAACGTATGTATTGTTTTCACGTGATGTTAACACTACGACCACGTCGAATTTAACACGCGAGCCGGCGCATATCATTCAACGAGCGACCTGGTCGCGAGAATTGGCACAAATTAAATTGATCAGGCAATGATCCTCTACATCACGTGTTGACTCGTTGTCACGTTGCTCTTTAAATGCTTGATATTACGCGCACAAAGCTTCATTCGATCATCTGTTCGGTTTACCCGTTTGCACCTTGCAATTTTTCGATCGAATTCTTTCACTGAAAGAATTCTTGTCCACCTAAAAGCGAATTACACAATTCTGCGTCTGTTCTTTTGACTTCGAACAATTTCATCCCGCGAAGAAACAGTGCTAATTACGCTTTGATATCGTCTCATGATCGATCGAACCTTTCCTTCGTGACCGGTGCGAGCAATTTTACGCCAATGGAGTCTAATTGAAAAAGAGGGAAACGCAGCGAAAAGAAAAGAAGAGTGGAAAAACAAAACGAGTTGGCAGTCAAGTCCCCGTAATTATTCTCGATCGACCATCGAGCGTTTCTTTTCTTTTAATCCCGGTCACGATCGATAACAATCGCCACGGATTAGCCATTTCCGATTAGACGATTTTCGTGCGATAATTACGAGAGCGTCGGCAAACTGGAATCATCGATAATCGATAGAACCTGGCGATCGCGTTCGAGAGTGGACATCGATCGTGTCTTTCTCGACTGTTTCTCATTTTCTCTTTTTCTATCTATCTGTTCGTTTTTCTTTCGGTCTCGTACGTTTTGACAGTGGCGCGTTTCGAGAGAGAGGTCGAGACTGGCGCTATCTTCTTCGGGGCTATCATCGGGTCGTAGGTCACCGCTGAGTCGATGACACACACGCACAAACATAATCCTCCTAGCCAGAGAAACGGTGAAATAGATAAGGAGTGTCTAAAAGTAATACGAGAAATCCATCTTGCTCGTTAATTCTCTTCCTGATGTCACCGATTTATCCCCAGTATTCGCGCGTTAAATAAAAATCGGGAAGGGAATAATCGTCGAATGGAATAATTTGAAGCAACCGATTGTGATTGCATCTCCTCGTAGCCGTGACTTGTATATTACAACTGTAAGTGTATATAACGATACGATGGTACGAGCGATTAACTAAATCTATTATCTACCATTTCGAGTAGAGAGCAAGATTTTTCGCTCGTTTTGCCTTAGACTCGTCGACGAAGTTTCGAATTTAATTCGGGAAAAGAAGTGCTTTGACGAGCCGAGCGGAGCGACGTTAACTTGGCTCCCCTTGAAACTCTAAAGAAATTAAATGGTAAAGGAGAGATTGCGGTCGCTGGAGGACCTGCAATCCGTGAGAACTTAACCAAGCAAACAACAATCGCAACTGCCCGCGCAACTGCGTTAAATACCAACTTCGTGCTCGTTTAAACTTCAAAACTCGATCGTTTTACTTTACAGTCAATAAGATTCACGAATTGGCTAATCGTTCTTCTTCCAATTGCTTCTGGAGCTCGCGTGTTTCGAACATCAGCCACGTGCTAACAATCACGCCCTCGACGAACATTCTTCCGAGAACAGAGTCGATTCTCTTTTCTTTCCTTTGACGGCAGTCGACTATGTTTTCGAGACACGAGGTGAATAAGGCGGGCCGCACGCGCTAACGCAATCGTGTAATCGACCGCAATCATTTTGATGACTGCAAATCGTCGACGATAAGCGACGAAATAGAGATGATTGTAGTGTAGGCAGAGCTTACAAGTAGACCGTCGCGGATATATCGCGGCTCGTATCTGTGTCAATCAGTTCGTTGCCGGGCTAAAGCAGGTTTGTATTCAAAATAATCATCGTACGTTTCAATTTCCTCGATTTCCTTCAAAAATTCCATTTAAATTCCGACATTTCCATCGCGTGAGGTAAATTGCGTGACGTCTCACGAATGAAATTCTTGAATTGCCTTCTATTGCCGCGACGATTGCCCGTTCATCGACAGCACTTCGTTTCCGTAATTCGCTCGATTTAATGTCGTTAAAATTAATGAACTATGTATTATAGCTGCGGCGTAACGTTTTCTTGTAAATTATACATGATCTTCTGTTAAAATTATTATTTATCAAAGGGGTGCTTACGTTGTATGAAAAGTAGTTTCACTCGAATACGTTATTAGTGGTAATTGAATTAGCCATGAATTTTTAAACTAGCCTAATTGATGTTCGCGACGTGCGATGACGTCGCTGGCAAGATGTTGAAAAATCGCCGGCGGAATTTCACAACGTCGCTAGAGCGTTCCTCCTACAAATCGCCCGTTAACTAATGTGGGAAAGCATCAAGGATAATTGGCCGCGTTTATACCGTAAATCGCCAGTCGTATTAACATCCATCTGGATGTAAATCCACCAGCCGGCTTCCGATACCATTCGTTTAGCGAGATCGTATCATTCGCGGACGAACGCGCGGATAACCAACAGGTATCTCTCTTCATTGCCGGTTCAATTTCCGCGAAACGGTGCGCAATAAGCGCGGCACATGTAATTGCCGCAACGTGCCGCTTCTTCTTTTCCCGCTCGATGAAATCAAATCCCGCTTACGTATTTATCTATTTAATTAGCGATGCTGGCCGATTGTTCGGAAGTTTTCGCGCTGCTTTTGCCCACGCGTTTCGCTAATTTATCCTATCTATTCTATATTCTTGTGTAATGGAGCTAATTAAATATTTATCTGATGCTCGACAGAGCAGTTAATTAACTGTGTGATACCGCGAGTTTTCGAATCAGGGTAAAGCGGATCATTTATCGTTTCTATGTATCGAGACCACATCTTGATGAACGAGCCGCGTATTTTCGCGATCGAAACAATGTTCTTCACTCGTCGACCGAATCTCGATTATTCGTCCGCACTGATTCGTCAAGCGTGCGGCTCTGGAGCCGAAATTCGAACTTAATGTGTCTACGATTCGGTATAATGCGGTCGCATTATTGAGTTTATCGATGAATGAAGGCGGTTTACTACGAAACCTCACCGTCATCGTGCACGTGGTCATCGTAATAAAGTAGATGGTCGAGTGAAATAAGTTATAAAATTGTAATTTCCAAGTAGATTTCTTTCTAACACTAACGTAGTTATAATTATACAACGTTTAGCGTATCAATGAAGGACATCTTGTTAAGGAGCAGTAAATGGATTGTGTCAGCGTCACGAATCATGGGTCGCAATTACCTCAGGCTGATCGCGTGTTTTTCTACGTGTAGCTTTTTACGCGGCAATGAAAACATAACGTCGCTCGACACGCATGAGATCATGCACCTTGGCTCAGTGAAATCAATTAGAACGAAGATTCTTCCAAATAGCTACGTATGTACGCGTGGGAGCAGACGTACCGTACAATCAATGTTCATTGAGACGCTACATACGACGCTTGTGAATCGCTTCGTGGAAAAGTGAGATCACTGTAGAGCTAACTGCACAACTTTTCTAATCTCGTCGTATTTGCCTTCTGTGACTCAATACCGTTCACGACTAATCTGCCATTGTTGTTTCCCCCCAAAATTCGAGGGCAGATAATTTAATAGACACTTTATCTCTCCTCCTGTCCCGAAGGAACAGTTTCATTCTCGAGTTTGTTGGAGAATTGACACTCAAAGTGTTTGAAAATTAGTTACGGAGCTGAATATCTCAAAGCAAGGCTTTCGTTCAGTCGAAGGGATGAGTTCTACATCTCGCGCATTCGAGCATGATCCGCGTGACAAGTGACGCGTACCGAACAGAGTCGTGCGACGACCCAAGCGTAATTAAGCGCCGGCTGTGGCTGTTTGACCGTCATCACAGACAATGAATTCGTGTCACGCCAGAAGATGACGACAGATTAGACCAGAAGCCAAATTAACAGGATGACCGAATGTTTCTGGCTTTTCCTCGTTCCTTCCGTGCGAATTAATTTTAACGAAACGGATGACACCATCACCGCCAATATGACCGTTTCTCTCTAACTTTCTTTTCCATTATCCGACGATTTGAATTCTTTTTATCCTCATCCACGTTACATTCATCCAAGCAAAACGAAACGATGCGTTTCCAAAGGGGACGGTTCGTTGTATTTAAACAAAGGAGACACGTTTCCTGCAACACACGCTAGCATCGATCCTAATTTAAAACATTAAATAAACTATTTTCGTGCTGCACTCTACCTTTCCCCGCAAAGCGTAAACAGTAGCACACGCGCTCTGTGTTTACACAATTTCGCGCGCTACAAGGGGTTATTCCACGTTCGAACGTGGCCCCAGCCTGCGGCCCTCTGTCGAGTTTTACCGTGTATTTTTGTGAGCACCGAAATTAAACGGAGCCGAATGCCACCGTTGTCCAATGGAAAACCGCGGAGGTCCACGTTACTGGATAAAAATAACGATTTATCCACTGAATCGCGTAGCCTTCTATCAAGTTTTAAAATATAAATTCAAGCCCGATGCTTTCCCAAATTGACACATGATGCGAAATTTTTTTTATTCGCGATATTTTTTTCAGCGTGAATTATTTCCAAAATTATTCATAATTTTTTTTCAATCAACTCACTTAAAATCAAAATGAAATATATTTGAATATTTGCGACTAATAAATGTCTAATTTATCACCGATAAACAAATTAAATCAAAACTTTCGTGTACTTACGAATATGGAATTGAAAATCTTGTCGTAAAATGCAATGGGTGTCTTGAGAATTGTCTCCGCGGATAAAAGATATCCGTTGACGTCTGACTGTAGGATCGAAGAACCAGGTGTCGCGTAAGGATATAAATCGTTTTTGTTTAAAGCCGCGGCGAAGGGTGCGAGTATGGCCAGCACCAGGGTCAGCGCTAGGGCCTGCCACGACACGCTGAAATGACGCACGCAACGAGTCATTCTCTCTCAGACTGCCTTCACGCTACTGTCGATCGACACAGCCACTACGACGACGACGACGACGACGACGACGATGATGACGATGACGACGACGACGACGACGACGAGTCCTCTCTTGCCGCCCCTTAATCGCCTTTGCTCGCTCGTCCTCTCGGTTGCTCTTCCTTTCGAACGCACGAGACACCGTCTCTCTGCTCTCTCCCAGTACCATGCCGCCGATAATTTCGTGCTACTGCCCCCTCCATCGACCCAGTCCGCCTCGGATCACTCGCCTCTTTCTCGCAGGGGGACACGCGAGTATCACTGCGGTTTCGCGCCGCGTTCGCGACGATGAAGAATTTTATATTTAATTCTTCTTTATTATTTTTTTATTTACTTATACTTCGCTCTTTCGCAACACTTTTCTTTCTTATTTCAGCGATTAGTTGATTTAACTCTATCCGGTAATCGGTTATCGGTCATGAAACTGTGCGACAAGAGGTACAGAAGAGGTATGCGAGTTACAGTTGTTGCGAAACGTATTTATATACTAGTGTATTCATTATAACATGCAGTGTATTAAGTTCAAGCGTCTAAAATTATCTATCATTTGGTAATATTCACATATGATTTTAAATATTTGATACTGCAAAAAAATTTTTTCATTGGAAAACAAATATATGTAGTATATGTAATTACTTTTTATGTATATATATTGAGTTTATCAATGGATGTTTATTGAGTATATCAATTACTTTTATGTATGTATAGTTTATATTTTCTACGGATGTTATAGCTAAAAGATGAGAGATCAAGACGTAGGAAACCATGGATCTAGATATCTGCGTAATTAGAAGTTGTTATATGCATACTATCTTGTCTTACATGCCATTATATCTGCTAAAAATTCCACGAATCTGTGCAGTATCCATAAATAATACTCATTCTGCTTAGTCCTCATTATCAGACTGAAAATAATACCAACAGTTTTGAGTTCGTTTATTTTTTAATTAATTTATTTTATGCTTTTCCTTAAGCAATCTGCGACAACATCTCAGTTGTGTAATGCATCCGGGGGGGACACAGAAAGTAGCAAAGATTACGCGTCTATTTTTGTTCAGAAAAATGTTATCAATTATCTGTTATGCGTAAACACAAACGAGTCGGCGTCACGACTCATTCAATTGCACCTTCGATTTATTCTCCATCGCATTATCTTGCTATTCCACGAGTTTTTAAGGATTTAATTACACTAATAATCGTCATTCATATCGAGAGTCTTGACAATTGGATTTCAAGGTAATTGTAATCTGTGCCCACAATGAATGGTCGTAAAGATTTAACGATTACTGTCCAATCTGAATCTCCTAATCCAATATTACTTTCAATGAGAATTTATTTCTTGCGTCTTCTTTAGCTTCAATCTTGTTCTCCCGTGGAATGAAACGAAACAAAATGACGATCACGGGATCAAAAATAAGAAGAAAAAATTTAATTGAATTCAATTTCATCGCTCTAGTATGAATCAATCGAACAGAGACTGCAATGTAGAGAACAATCGTTTGTATAATTTGATCGCATTGCGTTTAAATTTCCCAGGAAGAAAGAATTCGCGAAGTTCTTTATTCCTTTTTCTGTATCATTAGTTCGCTTCCACGACCCAGTTCCGTCTCTAATTGCATTCTTACCTGCACCGCGTTCTATTCAATCTCGCATGTTTCGCCATAGGTGGTTGTATCTGGATCGTAGAGCATTGTTTTTCGCTGTTACTTGATAAAGAGTCATTCGGTCGCGGTCGAACGAAGCAGTTCGTGAGACATACGAGATACTGTTTGATATCTCTCAAAACGTAAGATTTCTCTTTCCTTTTCCTTGATCCTTGATCAAATTGTTTGGAATTAGAGGAACTCCGCACGTCGACTCGGATAAATAAAAAAGTTGCAACTGCGATCTGAAAATCATGTTCTCGTATACACGTTGTAAATTGATCTTTATTACAAGAAATTACATGACTAATTTGTACATATAAAATATAAATATGATACAAAGACTATGGTACAGTAGACGCGTGTTTACGGTAGGTCTCGTGTATTTCTGTTAGGTATATGTGCGCGTATGTGTTATGCTTTGCATTGGCTCACCTCCTTGAGTGGAATGATGAGGAGGTCGGATAAATTCTTAATCATTAATTACTATTATTCGTTAAATTGTTTAGTAGTCGTATTTCACGGTAGACGGAGTGACGCGCTTCCCTAACTCGAACGTAAGACGAAAGGGATGGGTTAGAAAGACAGAAAGAATGTCCTTTCTTTGACAGAAGAAAAGAAGAGGAAGAAGTTCTTAAAAGATGTAGTTTTAGAAACAGAGGTGTGTTCTTAGAAGGGAAGAGGAGATTGTCGTGCATATTGAACGTTCTTGAACACATCTGGAATCGGTCGCAGGATGAGTTCGGGAATTGAACTGGAAGAAAGAATATGTTGTGAAAGTGGCGTGAAGCAAACGATTGAAAATGATCGGAACGAGCACGTGTGTGCTCAACGGTAGCGGGGCTAAGAACGGTCTAGAAACATGGACGAATAGTGTACAGGTTCGTTTAACAACGGACAACGACACAGGAATTTTGATCTACGATCGATCGGTCCTGTAGCTTCGAGAACGATTCTCTGGAACTAACGGGGATCGACGATCCTGTGTTGCTCGGTAAGCAGACCCATCGTTACTCATCGTTTGCAACCTTGTCTCGCTTTAATGATTGACTTTAATCATCATAATAACATACATCTGACTCATAGTTGCGACCTATAGATATCATAAAATCCAAGTAGATGGGGCTAAATTAGACGCATGATCGCTTCGTTGTTTGTTGTTGTGTTATTAGAATCGATTTGCAAGAAAATGTCAAAAAAAGGGAGCAGTCGTTTTTTAGAGATATATTTTAAGACCGACTTAACTATATCCATAGATCTATGTAGAATCTAGTATGCTTAAATCGTATACGTATAAAAGGGACTTAAGCTCTTAGATTGGCAGTGCTATATTAGCGAGCCAAGATTGCACATAGCGTAAGGAGCAAAGATCGCGGATACGACATATATGCAAGTATCCATATACAGGAGGTCAAACGACAAAGACACGAGTAGTTTTCATCGATATTAACAGCAAACGTAGCACAGTTCGTATAAGAAAGCTGGATTCTCTCTGTTTCTGCCGCTTGGCATTACTGGCATTCTCGATTTATTTTCATCCCATCTATTTTCATTCTCTGTGACTCCTTCCCTCGTCTTCCACGATCTGTACCCACGCGTTTTGCTTCTCTACGCGTTTAAACTTTATGTTTAAACTTCATCCTGCTCTCTCTCTCTCTCTCTCTCTCTCTCTCTCTCTCTCTCTCTCTCTCTCTCTGTCTCTTTTGCGCTTGCTTGCCACGTGTCTTTCGTCCCATCAGGAAATAAAGAGAGCACTCACGTACCGAGCAACTTTTACAATTACGAATATGTTTACCACGGTAATGTAACATTTTCCGTTGCAACATCTTTCTCTCGATTACTTTCACGTTCATTACTACCTCATCCTTCTCGTTCTCTTTTTCTCTCGCGCGCGTTCGCTCACTCTCGCATTCCCATCGATTCTCATCTTCGTTTCTAAAGTGAATTACAGAGCCCTACGAAGTGCGGTAACTGCTGATAACGATTAAAGCTACGATAATATCTTTGAATTAACGTGCGTGCATTAAATACAATGACTACGACGCGTCCCATCGCCGTTATTTTCCTTCATATTTTATCGTGTCAATCATTTGCCGTATGAATCTCTTACTTCTTTCTCGGCGATAATATCACCTGATAACTACCACCTCTTTATAGATATTATATAATATATGTATATAATATAATATGTATGTATAACATATATGTTATATATAATAATATATAACATGTATACATAATATATATATATTATATATAATAATATATATATATATATAATATATACGTTATACATAATAATATATAACATGCACATATAATATATATGTTATATATAATAATATATAACATTTATATGTAATACATGTATGCTATACATATATATATATTTTATATTTTTTCTATTATCATTTTGCTCTGTGTTCAATCGACATATTATTTTATCTTGTAATTCAAATCTGTTCAATTTCATTCAATCTAAATTTCGGTCCCGAAACATCGATCGAAGATCAGCATTGTTGTATCGAGAGATCAGTGGAATATGTCTACCTGTTTCTTTTCTGTCCTAAAAGATGCTCAATCTTCGATCGACCAAGCACGCACGGCACACTTTCATGACATTTAATACTGCACATCTGGTTCTAAACGGATCAGATCACTTTCTTTCTAATTATCTTGGCGTTGTTCTCGAAGCTTAAAGGTACGAAGAGCAGTCTCTAATTACGACAGATGATATTCTTTTGGTGGTTTGGAATTCTTTTACAATTAAAACCAGAAGCAGCGATTCGGTGAATTTACCTAAAAGTTGAGTCTTTGACGGTCGATTAGTATAAAAAATGAAGCACCAACTTGTACGTTAAATTATTTTAATTCAACAAGTATGTGTCTCACGTTCCATATGCCATCTCGGCCAACAATTTTAACATGGCTAGAACATCTTAGAAATCATAGTAAAAATCTTACGATTCCTCTTAATCTGGAATGCTGAGATCCAAAAGACGGCCTGCGATCCAAACGCAACAAATTTCTCAGCACATCAACGCAAATGATGCTTTATCCTCGTGAAAAAATGGGATTGAAGCTCCTTTACGATCGATTATTACACATGCGTAACAATGGCGACGATGATCACGATACGACTAAATTTGTCATTTAACAACTACTGGACGGAGTCGAGCGACATCGTGACAACGATTCCCCTTTCTTTTCTTGTTTATTTTTTCCCCCCCCCCCCCCCATCAGCGACCTCGCTCGTCTCGTTTCTAATCGTACATATAGAGATCCGTTAACGATCAGCACGCAGTTGAGCGCGCTGATCCAAGTCTAGGTTAAGTGATTCGAACGCCTATAGGCGTTTCCGCCTGTCGCGTGCACAGTTGCCTTGGGCAGGAGTCGAAGCAGGTGATCAAAAGGACGTGGCTTTTGCAAGCTTGCACTCGCTTGCGTAGAATACACGTCTCAGCCTCGAGCGCTTCTAAGAACGACGGATCTCGCCAGTCCATACTCTCTTCAACATGAACTGCAATAGCAAACCAACTTTATTATAATCAAATCACTCCTCTCCTCTCTTTTCAATGTATCGCAATACTTACGATCGTAGCTCCAGCGAGCATCAGGCACCATCAAGCGCCTTTTAGCGTCACGTAGTTCTAACCTAAGAAGGCGCTGCCGTAGTCGCAGGTTGTGTATCCTGGATATCGTGCCTCGTGGATCCGAGCGCAACCGCGCGCGCTTGTCCAGGATGTCCACGTCCTCGCTTGTGTAAGCGAGTATCCCCAGTAGCGCGGATGGCGCCCGTGGCAGATGGGCCCGGCACTGGGCCCGTGACCGGAGCCCGTACTCTGCCACCCGCTGTTCCACCGCTGAAACACCCGCACAACGTCGAGGTTAGAACCCCCAGCGCGCCACCTGAGGAGAACCACCGTACAGAGGGACCATTTTAGACGGTTTTTTCACATCGTTTCACGGGACTTTAGCTGACAAGCTAAGCTATCTACGCATCTTTTTTGCGATCACGACATGTTACAGACATGCATTAATTCCTTCTTTTAATATTTGTTTTCTTTTTTTTTTTTTTTTTCCTTTTTACTTATTACATTTGCTTCACTCTCGACAGATCGATACGATTTTATCGTAACTGAACTTTGTGCAAAGGATCTCGGGTAACAGGAAATACTCAACTAATGACATGCAGCTACTTCAACAAGTTAATTGAAAAGGTTTCTATCGATCTTTCTCTGTGCGATATTTACTTTTTATTGCAAGCGTTTTTCATTTGAGATCACGGACAAAAATTCAAGAGATCAAATATCAACTACCTTGGTGTTCTTGAAGAGCTCCGGTATGCCTGGACGAGTCGCTTGCGATACTGCTCGTTTCACTGTCTCTAACGATGCTGTCGTAGCCAGAACTTTCCGCACGATGCCTGGACAAAGTAGCTGGCGAGAGTTTCGCTGCGCGTGGCGTGGAATCCGCACCAGAATCGTACCCTTCCTTGTTCAAACCCACCGAAGAGCCCAAACTAGTAATTTTACGTTGCACTCGACCTGAGGATGGCGCCGGCGATGGAATAGACAACTGCAGCGGTGTTGTTGCTACAAGAAAGTTGGAAATAATCGACGATATGACGCTTGAAACCAAACTTTGATCGATACGAAAATTAGCTGAATACTCTAAAAGAGCTATGATATTCTTACCTTGAACTTTGAGATCTTCCTCGATATCTGACTTGCCAGTGACAGTCCTCTCAGACCTCTCAGCCGCTGTGAACAGTTTCTTCGCCTCGACGTATTCCTCCTCTGGATCTGAACCCGAAGCTCCATTTCCCGGTAACCTTTCCACTTCTTCCTTGAGATTAGGGTTCGAAGCACCGTCAGGATGCCGGAGACTGGAGATGTTGCACTCGCCAAGTTTCCCACAGTATCTCCTGGGACTGGCTATGTGCGCTACGCTGTTTGGATACCAGTAAGAAGCAGTGGCCGGTCTGGTCATGCTCTGACGACAATTGTCGCAGATCTTCTCCTGATCGGACTTGCCGGCAATGTACGCGGGCTCGCTGTAGATGCTGCCGTGATTGCTCGCATTGTCGTTGAACATCACGTCCGAAAGGGACAAGGATTGACAGCGCGACGGTGGACGGAAGACAGGGGCGGCTGGAATTTGTCCTGCGTTAATGCGATACTTGTTGTAGACCTACGCTGGTTGGCTGACAGGGTGATTTCGTTTTAGAGGACTTGCACGATGATTCTCGATGGAACTCGACCCTCTCGTTGCCAGTTTCGTTTCGTTCGGATTCTTGCTCGCTATATCGGATGTAGCCGATCGAAGGCGACAGCCTTATTTTGCGGTTATGAGGTTCGGAAAAGGAGGGAAGTCGAAGTCTAGAAACGCAACGAAAGGGTCGATAACGCACACAGAAAACACACATAGAGTTACTGAAAGGTCGAGTAGCGTCCTCTTTGCTCGAACAAACTATCGCAAACTTACATGGAGCTTCTCTGACGTTCACGTTCGACGAGTTCTCCCTTTGATAAGTGACCGAATTGGAGACATTGGCGAGCGCCAGCTTACTTTGGTAGAGCTCGTGGAGTCGAGCCAATTGGTCGAACTTGTGCCTGGTCTCTTGTTCTAGGAAGTCCTCGTGGTCGAAATAAGGTCTGGGCAACACACCGGCGCCGACCGGAGGCGGATATTGAGGCCTGTACCGTTCCGTGTCTGACATTACCGACATCGAGTCTGGAAATTAACACGTATTTCTGTTTCCCATCTGGCTAGCAGGATTCGAACGATAAGAACGAAACAAATGGTTAGATAAGAAGGAACGAAAAGAAAGAGCGTATTTAGTTGGAAATGGACTGCCTTTATCGAGCGCGATTTCCAAGACGGAGAGCATCGACGAATAATTATATCGAGCTGCTACCAATCTCTCTTTTCTGTCTTCTCGATCGTTATAACTCTCAAGCTACCTTCTTTTTTCTCTCGCAATATGATTATTTCTCGTCGAGCGTACTATTATCAAGTCCGAAGGCTTTCTTCAGAAACAATCTTCGAAGCATTCCGTTCGAGTACCCCTCGAAAAAGAAGGAAAGACTGAGCAGTAAGAATGGAGCAGACGACTGACAGAACACGACGCGATATGACCGTCGCGAGACACTGTTGTGAAAAACTCGATATATTTCCTCGGATAATACCCCGCGAGCTGGCCATAATAGCGACTGGATACATCCAAGGCGGATAGGAAAAGAAAACGCGCGTGTTTACTTACCAGTGAAGGTCGATACGACGGTGAGGTTCTCCTGACTGAGAATTCTCAAAGGATGTTCCTCCTGATCGCTCTCGGGTAAAGGATTCTCTCCCATACACATCGCGATATCCTCCTCCGTTACCTGAAGACACGAATCCTGCATGGGAACAGGTTCCAAATCCTCGACCTCGACAATCTCTAAGATCTCGTCCTCGGAGGACAACGAGTGTCTGGAAGGCAAGACAATATCCTTGTGCGAGAGGTTCAAACTTTCCATCGAGACTTCTCTGCTGACGCCGTTGCTAAGTGGTTCGATGAGAGGTAATGGCGGAGGTACCACAATCTCCTCGTCGTCGTCTTCGTCCTCCTGAAGATCCAGTTTTCCTTTGTCCATGCTGTCGTCCATAACAGGACTGGCCGTCAGATCCAATCCAGAATCCGTGTTGGACTTGACGTTCAAAAGATTTAGCTTGGCGCCGAGCTTCTCCGTGATATCTTCAATCTCGTTCACCTTCAGACTGTCGCTTTCGACCGTGGACAACGAGGTGTCGTCGTCGTCCATACCTCCGCACGTCTTAAACGTCGTCAGTTCCTTAAACTGCGACGACTGGCCGGATATCTTCGAAGATTCGATTTTAGCTGCCGCGTGTCTGCTCTTCTGAATCTGCGACGACTGGTTCTCGACCCATTTTCTGATCATACTCTTCTTGTGGCTGTCCATGAACCCGTAACCAGAGGAATGTTGCTGAGTGTGTAGTTGCAAGGTAGGCGGACCAGTCAGTTGCATGGGACCGTCGATCCAAGTCTCCCTCTTGTGGTGAGGATCTTTCAACATGTGTCTAGCCTCGGCAACCTTAGACTTGGAAATTCTGGGACCGTCTATCCATTGTTCGTCCGAACCACCGCTAGGTGCAGCAACTGGAATCTTGCTGCCAGGCGAATCGTTTGCCTTCGACGAGGAAAGAACTTTAGTCGACGAACTCCTTCTGGCTGGACTGGCCTTCGGAGTAGCGGTGTGCGCCGGAGAAGTCTGTTTCGAGGCTGTCTGCGTCAATGTCTTTACTACCTTGGTGGATTTGTGCACCGGACTGCGCTCTTCCGGGATCTTGCAGGGTCTCTCTGCCGCGGATCCACGAAGCACTCTTCCCATGGCGCAACGATTGTCTCCGGAGTTCAGACTGGGTATATAAACGGGAGGATGTTCGCCGTCCGTGGCATCGTCGGTGCTGGGACCGACATAGATCACCGTATCCGCGGACAAATCGCTGGAACTTGGATCGCATTCGCTGTTCTGCCTGGCTGCCTCCTCGCCGGAACTTCCGCCACTACCTGTTCCTTGCGTGCCCCCACCCACGAACTTGATCTTCCTTCGTCTCATTCGGTGAATACGGGACGCCAGTTGCACGGTGGTTAGCGTCTCCGTGTAGTGTTGAGCGTTGGGAGACACGTGGGCGATCATCGCGGCGTGACACGTCAACGAGCCGAGACACTCCTTTAGTAATTGGGTTAGTTTGTGCTCCTTGTACGGCAGATGTTTCTGCCCGTTGAAGATCGCTAGCAGGATATTGCCTAATCCGGACAAGGGTATCCCGCCAGAAGACTTGCCACGATCCGAATTACCCAAGTCCATTAGATGGAGCCTGCTTCTACCTCCCGCAACTGCCAATTAAAAATATCGAGACGTATAAATATCATTCGCTCTTTGTTGAGAATCGATTACAATACAATCGCGTACAACTGTGGTCACAGGTTGAAATTTTATCTGATCATTATCGATGTGAATGTAATTTTAGAAATTCCTGAATATCATCTTCGTTTCTTTTTTTTTTTTTTTTTTTTTTACCAAAGTGCAAGAGAGCTACCGAAATTTTTTTTTTTTTTTTTTTTTTCACCAAGTGCAAGAGAGCTACCGACACATTTGTTTATTTTAGACACGCAACATCGAAAGCTTATTTACGAAGTCAGTTTTTAAAAATCCAAAGACCGACACAAGCGACCACCTAACGTTTAACGTTTGAATTCTTGCGTCATCGTGCCCAAAAAAATTCATACGCGACGCAAGAACTGCACTCGAGTAAATTGCGTTATCAGGTATCAAGAATTCGCTACGAGAAACAGTAGGGAATAATTTCGTGAAGTCGGTAGAAAGCCCCATCGTTCTTCGTGAACGGAAGCCACTCGAGGCCGAGGTTGCGTTTCCAGTTTACGGAGCTCAATGACAAACGTTGTTTACGAGCGGCAACTACAAAGGAGGAAAGGGGATCAGTAGATGAAGGGAAATGTTTGGTGGCTCACCTCCACCCTTGCCAGCGACGCTGTACTGATAAACGTGTAGAGTGTAGAGCATGTGCGCGTCTCCGTCCTCTCGTTGTCGGCCCGCGACTGCCGCATCCAAATAGAAGGCGGCACGTTCCGCTGTCGGTGCACGAAGCTCGCTGTGCTGTTGCAGCTGCAGGCTGCCGAACAGTGGGTCGTCCCTCAAGTACACAGCCGGTGACTGCTCGGAGTCTGGGAACAAAGAGTGGTCGCAAATCACGTTACGCGCAATCCCCATGTTACGCTCGCTGCGAACCTTCATCAGCAATAAATAATAACATCGTGTCACTGTCATTTCTTTTAAGTATACTGTAATAAATAGACTTTATGTACGCCCTTGGTAGAACTAACGGAATGACGTTGTTATCCCGTGAGAATGAAAGTGATCATCCGTATTGTAAATATATTTATCGTAGGAGGAAACGCGAGTAAATGCAAAGTTATGAGAAAGGAAGAAGGAAGGTTGGCTAGATTATAGGATCTATACTCGGTGCTATATATCATAGCAGAAAAACAAGAGGGCGAAGGGAGGGGGAGGGGGGGGGGGAGGGAGCGGCGGCACAATGATGCAGGTGGACGGTAGATAGTATAAATCGGCTCCGCCTCGGCCGCGAAATATCCGCGGACCGTCTCAAGCTGAGTTATGACGTCGATAAAACGCCGAGAAATACGCGCCGCGGAGATATCACGGCGCGTTATCACGGATAACTATCGGTGACTGGCGGTGTGCACGGCCATAGCCACGGGTCTTTACGCGAATAATCAACGTAAATGCGGAACAGAGTTGTAAATAGCGATCAGCGTAAAAGCACTGTTGCTACCTCGTCCAGTTGTGGATGCATTATTATACACACTCTCTTGCTCTCTCTTGCTATCGCGGAGTTTTTCGAAAGTATTCCTATCTTATCTGTATCTTCTCGAGAGATGACAATTCCGATCTTACGCTACTAATTGACAGATACTCGATAAATTTGATACAAAGATTCAACGCAATTATCAATCGGAAATTAAACAACGTCCTGGAAGGGAGAAGAATTTTATTGGTCGTACTTTCACGCTTGAGAAAGGCTTTTCAAAGTTTGCGTTATTACACGCGCTATCTGACCAGCTTGTAAACCAGCTTGTTTTATGTACAGCCCCGCCAGTGACATATTGCGCGCGCCTTAGGAAAAGCCTTTTGATGCGAAACAACGAGACAGAAGGAACATCGGGAGACAACGATCGTTGTTACGTGCTTATCGATTCTTCGAAACAAGCATCATAAAGAGTCTGATCTTTCTTCTTGTTAAGGAATCTCTGGGTAGACTGGACAAATCTCGTGACCTCTGCGGATTCAAGCAGCAACGGTACTCGTAAACAAATCTTCAGGATGATAAAATTATTATTGTTTGTTGAACATCCAATTAACATTTTACTATCTCGTGAACTTATTTTTAGCATCGTAAAAGAGCGCATAGCCCGTTATTGCTGTTTTATTGTCTTTACGTCGTTTGCCCATGATATCTGTTGCCCATCTTCTTTTTACGATCACTGCTTTATTTTCTATGACTAATCCAAAGATCATAAATGTATAAGATTTTTCAAAGCAATACGAATGAAAAATTAAAACTCTATGAACCGTGATGTGGAGAAATATCGTATGACGTAAATATTTCATCTAAAATCTTTTCAAAAGATAGAAGACGAAGCTAGCGCAAAGTATAAGGTTGACAAAAGCAAAACAAAGTTACTAAGAAAAGCATGCTTGCTTGGACGTATTAATGCGGCAGAGGCGTGGCAATATCCATAAAAGGGACAAGAGAAAGTAATATTGTCGGCATCTGCGTCACGTGTCGGTGGTTCGCAACGATGGAAGGCACACTGTGCCGCTTGGAAATCCGTAGAAATAAAACACTCATCTTCCGCGAGAGCTCGCTGGAATATGGATACGCGTACAATCCGCTCACCGCTGTTTTCTGTTTCCGTGGGGTTCAAGGCAGTCGTTGCAAACAAATCGTTTTTCCACGCGTTTCGAATACTAGTAGCGTTCGGCCAATCGGTTCCTCCAACCCTCCTGTGGACTCTCCCCACCCAGATAGTGAAAGCAATCTGTTTTCGGCTTTCCGAACCAGCTTCGAATCGTTCGACGAGACTGTTTTCCCAAATGCATCGTGTATACGCTCTTTGAAACATTTCCTGACTCTTAGCAGGAAAAGTCCGAAGATTTAGTATAGAACGACAAACTTATTAAGGAATTTAAAACTGGAATAAACTGTTGAAACTGTTCGATCGGACGATAATGGTCGTTCGATGAGGGAAAAACAGAAAAGAACGCCGCTTTAAACACTACGTTTTATCCCGGCTGCGTGAAAAATCAAAAGGAAACCTCAATCTTCCGTTGCATCGTTGTTTTCTTTTTTCTTTTTTTCTTTTTCTTTTGAGGCGGGCTCGATAATCATCGGTCGTTGTATCAGTGGCGGATCGGAAACGGCGGAAGCGGTAACTCGTTTCCGAGGGGATCGATAATAACTCGCGTCTGACGCGGCAAGCTTTTCCCTGTAATTCGTTCGGCGATGATTTGCCGGCCATTGGCATTTCTATTCGCTCGTAACATCGACTTTTCCGCCTTGTCTCGTATTCATGCTGCACTCGATTCGTGTCGTAAGAAACGCGAAACGGAAAACGCGGCGAAGAAGAAGGAAAGAAAATTAACGAACGCCTGGATCTCGGCATTAAAGTAGAAATAGTCTAGTCGGTGCGACGCAGTAGAAGTAGCAAAAGACAGTTACTTCATGCTTTATACGGTCGCGTAGATTCACTGAAATAAGTATACGACGCGAAGACCACCGGTTCGCTGCGTCATTCTCCTCATTTCGCTCATTTTCTTCATCCTTCTCATGGACGATGTCTCGCGGGGGACGAAACTGTGTGGTAGCAAGAGGCGAAGGGCAACGCGGCCGTGGCGCTGCTTCAGGTAGTGTAGCACCGTGAGTAGAGAAGGCCGTAAGTCGTGGAGACTCTGGATAGAGAGCCAGAGGGAACCACCGGGCAAAGCTCGTAATAAGCGGCTGCGAATATTCGTCGGTCGTGAAAGTCGGTTCTGTCTCGACTATAACTCGACGATCCGTAGGGAGACGCGCGTCGCAGCCACGTTTCGCGTATTTTTCCCAACCGAGAGAGAGAAAGGAGGAGGAAGGAAAAGAGAAAGAAGGGGAGACGCTCGGGAAAAGTTTTCTATAAATCATTTCTCACTGTAACAAGCACGGGAATGCTCATTTAGTCGTTAACTTTATTTATACACCGGGAATAAATTGCCTGGGTATTTTTAATTCGAACTGCCTTTAATTTAATATTCGCGGAACTTGTTACTTGTTCTCCTTTCTCAATGGTTTTATGGGATTCTTATGACTGCGAATGCTACCAGTCGCAACATCTCCGAGTGTGAGCAAAAAGCTGGTACATTTTCATTTTCATGGGAAATTGAATTTCTTAATGAAACAAACATAGGAAACTATGTTCCATCGTTCCATTCGTTGCCTTCGAGAATTTCGCATACGCTCGGCAAACCTTGGCGTATCGAATGAAATCTTGCAAAAAGGGCAAATGGAACAATAGAGAGAGACGCTATAGCAGCCTCACGAGCTCACAACATTTCCTCGTTCGCTTGTTAATTCGCGGGATGGCTAAGCAGTTAGAATTAACTTCAGCTGTTATTCTTTCATAAGATTTTTCTTTTGTTTCCCCATACCAGTTATAATTGCTTCGTTCAAACTCTAAGATATTTCCTTGCTCTCATTTCCTGATTCGATCCAGTGCAGCTTCTAATACGTTTTTTTAATTCTACTATTTTAAAATCCATATCTTTTAACTAATTTTGCGTTCAATTCTGCGTCGAAACAATCGCGAATGAAGAATTAATAAAAATACTAAGAAATTTAACGAACAATGCTCCTATTTCAAATTAAAGAAGAGATTCGGGGAAACCAGATAGAAATGTTAAAATCGCTCAATCGCGGAATATCCGACTTTTATGATGGTATACGAAGAATTAGTGCCGGCATAAACCAACAATCTATTTTCCCAGGCTAAAGTGCGCGAAACCTCGCGTCATTAAACTTTCAAGTGACAAAGTGAGGAAAGCTGTCATTAACAGAACGATCTCCAATTTTTGCTTGAACGCAGAACAGAGGGCCGGAGCATGGGCCATTGCTCGCTACCATTTGTAGGAAAGCCAGCCGGTACGTAAGACGACGATGGTTTTCTTTAATTGCCAACCGCACCGTAGATCCCGCTTCGTATCCCCTTCATAAAAGTTACTATCTTCAGTAAACGATTCGTCCCGAGCACCCCGAAGAAACAGAAGGCAACTTTACGACAAATATAACGTCGACAATTGATGAAACCACGAATCTGTTTCGACGTGAAAAATTAAGGGATGAAACGTGTTCGTGGAAGGAATATATGGCAGATTTAATTAATCTACCGAGCCAGGTAATATTCTTCGATTAATTTGAGCAAACTGACGCGCCTCGATGGATAAAATAGATAACTGGCAACGTACGATACATGTTTCGAAAGGAAGTACGAGTAGACGCGGAAGTGTTTTCGACCGCAAATGTATCACTGGTTATGCACTGGTCACCCCCGACTCCTCTATCGATCCTACATATATGTATACTTTTTCGTACGTATTGAAATGCAAACATGCGGCTTCGAGGTTATTCTATCGATCGTTTCGGTCAACCAGCGAACAAATGGATATTAACAAATAATTCGTACGATAGAAGCGCCGCCGCCTCTGAATTCAACGGGAGTAAAGTATCACGTTTCACTTCTGGCGCATTTGCAAATGAAACAATCTTTGTATTTGCAACTGGTACAAAGAATGATGTGTAACGTTAACGGGAATCGAATGAAAATTCTCTCGCAATTCCTGAGCGATCCACGGGGAAATAAAAATTCCCGTGGTTCTCCTTTCAATTCTCAATCGATCGGCAGCCTCCGTTCCAAGCATTCCGTAGAATAAAACGAAAGGAAGAACACTCCCATCTGCGTTTTATGCGCGTTACGTTAAAAGCTGCGTGCTCCAGTGACGGTGCTGCTACGACGACGTTTCCTCCATTATTCTCTCTGCCCTCGTCCTTATCTTCCTTCTTATCCGCTTTACGCGCGAACCCGACCGAAGAGTATAAAACAATAACGGTGGCGCGAGTCGCGATGAAAATTATTGCGAGCTGCGAGCTCCGTTGTTCATCTCGC